TCCCTGTCCTATTCCCTGCATTGCCCTCTGGTGTCTGAAATAGCAATTAATCACTTCCCATGAAACCAACAGAATAGGAAGTTGTCCTGACAGTACCCTGATCTCAGCACACTACAAACACAGGCTGCTCACCTTATACTCAGCTTTCGGTCTCCGCAGCTCTGGGGCGTAGTTTTTAACTCCTGTGTCAGAGAGGGCTGAGAGGAAAAGGCAAAGCTGAGTAGCACATCAAACTCCTGATTCACATCCACTTCCAAAATTGTCTTTCTCTTCGTTTTCGTGGCAGAAGACCCAAACTCAAGCACCAAATTGCAATACGAAGTTGCTCTAAAACCAGGTTGTCAGTTGTACATAAGCAGATTACCCCAAACCATCACACCAACTCTTACTTCTTTGCTGAATGCCTTTCAGACAACCCATGATTCAGTTTCCCTTTCTGCAACATAAGGAAGATGACACTTCCCCATTTTGGAAATGCTTTGGTTTACGTAACTCTGCACCCCTCCCAAAATGAGGCAGGGATTCGAAACTTACCATCTGAAAGGGACTGGAAGCTTGGAAGTCTGTTTCGTCCTGAAATCAAAACAAACACTCATGAGAGACTGTCTCTTCAGCACCAACATCTCTTGCAGAGGGAACACAAACCTAGACCACAAGCCAGCATGCTGTAGCTATGCCACTGTAGAACAAGCCGCTCGGTATAGCGATTCACACTCCACCGGCATAGCCGGGGCTCACCTGCTTGCAGTCTAAGACTCTGAAGTTGCCTGTGGCATCACAAACCATATCACACCTGAGCCCTATCTGTGCTCTTGTTGCTGAGGCCAGGAGAGGTTAGAGAGCCTGAATTCACTCATCTGCCTACAGAGCAGATGCTCAAGCACACAGCACTGCTTTAGGCCATGGCAGCATGGACAGCTTCGTTCACCAGGGCTGTGATTTGGATACCTTTCGTTATCACTGTATTATCAAAGTTGAGAGTAAAAGACCACCTCAGAGAAAGAGAGACAAAGTAAAAGCTGGTTTGTTGTCTGATGGTGAGACAACAGAGCTGAACTCTTGCAAGCTGTGCAAGCCTCCTCGTGGCCTGCTGCGCAGTTCCTCCATAACCAGTTAAGCTACCACTCCTGTTACCATGTGTTTGCTGAACCAACTATAACATCAACAGCAGCCAGCTGAAATCCAAACAAAGGACAATCAACCGGTCTCCTCTGCAGATCTGAAGATCAGATGAGGGCCACATGGGTCAAGCCAGTCCCTTTGTAGCCTCCTCCTTTCCATGGTACAAACAGATTACTGTACAGCACTATGCTCTACCATGCTGTCCTGTGGAACCTGGCTTTTAAGAAGCCATAATCTCCAAAGCCCCCTCCCATACCACAAGAGCATGTAACCTCCTGCATAAGGCGGTCTCCAATTTCTGACCACTGAGAGATATGCTCCCACACTGAGATCAGAGCCTCCCTGTTTTGAAATACACTTAAGAGAAAACAATTTACATAAGATAACACAATAGCCCCTTGACACTCTTGAGGGAAAACCCATTTGCCCATATTGTATATGAGGAACCTCACCTTTGAATAGGCTGCTTAGGGAGTAGGAGGAAACTTGTTTGGGAAAAGCAGCATAGGAGGAAGAGCCCTTCTGTAGGCTGGAGTCTCGGCTCTCCAGCGAGCTAGCGCTGCTGGAGGCTGTCTCTTTGATTGACCAGGAGATACCTATGCGCAGACAGAGGTAATTTATAACAGAGAAAATCAGTCTATAAAGAATGATCTTATGGCATGGCAGAAATGTTACCAAGTTACAGAATCCCAATCTCATGTAATACCGCTTGTTAAACAGTTGCGCATGGTTCTTCAGAAATGGCTGATTTTGGCAATGTTGTACAGCTGGTTATGGCTTATATAAAAAAATGCACAGACCACCCAACATTTATATGTTGTTGCATGGGGTAAAGCATAATCCTTGCTCTAAAGGTACACAGCAAGACACAGAATCCCTGGCTTACCTCAAATTGCAGAAGCATAAGAGCATACCTTCCTGAACACTGGAAAACTAAGACAGTTTTCCTCCCCACGCAGACAAAACAGCTATCAACATGCATATGCCGCTGGCAACAACGCATATGTCTGCCTCCTGCTTGTTCAAGAGACAGTTTTCCCTTCTTCTCGCACAGCTGTACAACACACACATTTGAGGAGAGGGTGATAGAGTAAAAAAACTGATAGGTAGAGACCTTGGGTGTGAAAAGAAACAGCCTGAACACAAGGGAGGAGCTACAGCACAGCACAAGAACAACAGAGTCTTTGAAGGTCCTCTGGGGGATCCAAATGTGAATTTTCACTATTTGGCACTGGCTAGCAAGTGCCACATATTCTGTGGGTCACGAACTCCAAAGTGCAGCAGACAGCATCGTGTCTGGGTCATGAGCTCACTCCCATCATCACTAGAAACACATTTGCTTAATGCCTACAATTCCCTTTCAAACTTCAAGCATAAGAGCCAGTCTATAAACACACACTAAACCTTACAATATCTCCTTAAAATGCTGTGGGGACAAAGCACAGAGAACTTTAAATGGTGCCATTTCAGGCAGCAGTGTGAAGGAAATGAGCACCTAGAATCCTGCGGGCCAGCTAAGCATGATGAATACCAAGCCATAACCTCCAAAACATCTGCTCTTAGCTGGGCTACATATTGGGAAAAACACAGTGAATTCCCTCCACTTGTCTGCACTCCTCCTCTTTATGTATCTTAGGCTTCTGCTTGCTCGCTTTCCATTGGGTTCACACAGGTAAATCAAGTGTCTCACAGTGTGACCCGAGAAGACTAGAATTAGATTAGATACGCAGGATTAGATAGTAAGTAGTACTCCTGACCTCGACTAAATGACATGACTTAAGCAGTAATTTTAAACTCCCTCTGCCTCAAGGGTAACTTGCAGTACTTCTGCACTTACTTCCCACAGGTTCTCCACTCCAGCTGACCCTCTCAAGGTCATCGTCATCATCATCATCGACGATATCCCGAAGGCTGTTCACTGCCCGTTTGGATTCCTTTAGCTATGGACAAAAGAAAGAGCTTGTACAAAGGCCACCAGTGTTGCAGAGGGTGCTTTGTTTCCTATTACCTCCAAACAATCTCTCTCAGAGCTTTGAATACAGCTTCTTCAGCTTCCACCGCCTCTTCTGCAGGAGATATTTAACACGTGTAGGTGTTCAACAGACACAGCAGCCCTTCTTCACCACTGGGAATCCAAAGGCCACCGACACCTACACAGGCACCGACAGCTCAACCAGCAGGAGATGCAGTTTGGTGCACGGGCAAGGAAACAGCGTCCTAATGAAATTTCGGATCGACTACCGTGGGGGGCGAGACGGGAGACCCTGGTGGCCTCCACACAAGGCAGGAGGCGAGCATCCACCCCCCACCCACGAAGCACAGATCCTCAGCAAAGCGCGGGGCCGAGGCCCGGGCTGAGACGGCCGCGGGGCGGGGGGGCTGCCTGCGGCGGGGGTTCCCACGGGGGGGGAGCCGGGCCCGGGGGCG